GGGTCAGGGTAAACATACCAAAACATTCTATGACACAAGGTATACATTGTAAACGACTTTACCTGAACACAATAGGAGCAGGTCCACTGAATCGAATAAGAGTTTTTTTGATATTTTCATGCAGTGTACTGTCATCAAGACACCATCGTGTTTGTTCTGTAGCTGATGGCCCAGCAGTAGGATCAGGAGCTCCACATACTGTATTAATAGCACTTTCTTGTGAAGAGAGTAATTCATCCAATAAACGCTGAGCAGTAGGTAGAATCTACAAAAGAAATCATACATGTATTTAGGTTTCAATCTAGCACATGCTATGTAGGTTTCGATTTAGCCTGATTGCTCTAATAATCAGATAACAAGTGGTCTGTCAGAGATGAATTTGTTCATGTGGTGTTTTTTTCTCTCTCACCTGTTGCGGTAGTTCACTAATTAAATACTGTGCAAACTTCTGTAGTTGATCACGATGCAGTCTGGATAAGGATTCTGATACAGGAGCTCGAAGACACACCCCTGACGCTTGATGGATTCTAAAGAGACACAGAGCCACCACATGTGCACACCATTTGGCTAGACTACTACAGGTACAACTACATGCTGTTATTTGTCTTCTGTCAAACATAACCGCAACATTAAAAGTCCCTTTCGGTTGGGCTAGATGTTGTGGTGGAACTACTGTAGCACTGAGGTGAAACCCTGTGTGAAAAAAAATTAAAACCCAATGAATAATTAAAGCATTAATGGTATAAAACATGTGCATCTTCCAGTGAGTCAAAAATCTATTTTCCAAATAAGAAATATGCTATGCTCAGTGTGATAGTCTCTACTCATCATGTCCAATAAAAATACAGCCTGATAACATAATAAATTTGATGCACCAGATACACAACCATCATGTACAATAGAAACACAGTCTGATAACATAATAAACTTGCATGCATCAAATATTGTACACATACCTATTTGTAAGACTTCTTTGACTGCTCTGGATTTCAACAAATGTTCACCTTTTTGGAATTCTTCAGCTGAGCCATTAGCCAGGCATGAATACAACCTGTGTGAAAAAAGAATGAGAAGTTGAAATGGAAAAACTGATGGAAATTATGGCAACACTATGGGAGAAGACAGTAGATGCAATGGGAAGATTGGTAGGAACACTCTGGAAGAACGGGTAAGGCAGTAGATGAAATTAGAAGAAACTGATAGAAATGAGACAGTGAATGAAATGGAAAGACAGGTTGAAAATATGGAAATACTATGGGAAGAAATGAGTAATGAACAGGACAGACAATGATGCACATACAGATGATCAGATAACTGTCAACAACACAGGCTAAGAATATTCTAGCATTTCTTACAATTCTTAAGTAAAACTAGTGTTTTCTACTGCATGGAAATAAAAAATACTGTTGTCATTTTCTCCATTCAGTATTATGTACCTTATATCTTCTTCATTCTCTGGGAAGCTCCAAAACGCAATCCTTAGTTGTAGTTGTTCTGGAACTGGAGGATATACACGCTCAACAAACTCAAATGGCAGCTGACATGCTACAACTCTAGCTGCTAGTTCAACCAGGGGCATTACTTGACATTCTACAAAAATATCAAAGGTATCAGGTTTAGTTTCAAACATAATTCTTCTTGTTTTAGTTACTCCAGTAACTCCAGAGGAAAACCATTTTATTTTCAGTAAGACAAGATGGCCGACATTTTACATTTTTACTAACAAGAAAGCTGCATTTGGCAGTCAATTAATCCTCTACCTAAAGCAGACTTCAATGAATTTTTCATACATAGTATTATACAAGCAGCCTCTCGGCTGAGATAGCTCCGCTGTTAGCAATGCACATTTCAATTAAAGAACAGAAGATATCATTAGAAAATGAACAATATGCATAGTATCAATGCAATGGGA